AGACTATGGGAGAAGAGGAACCCTTTGTTTTCTACAAAAGTGGAGGAAAAAAATCTGATGGTGCTGGGGTGTCCTGCAGCAGCTGTTCTCAGGCTGGGGCTGCAAATCCACCCATGAAACAGGTCAGGATCTTGCTTTTGGGGTGCCGGAGAGGCACAGCCTGACTCATATCATCTTCCATTTCAGGGCTGTAGACATGTTGGTATTTTTATAAATTGCAGTAGTTGCGTTGTCCTAGGTAAGTTACTGGACTGCAGATAAAGAAATAATGTTGCTGGAGATGTAGTTCATCTTCTTTTGGGGAGAATCCATCAAGAATGTCTTTGAAATCACCATCTCAGTGGTGGTATACAGAGAGATGTTGTGCTCCTGTGTGGCTGAGGGGACCGAATCCCTCAAATTGTTATTTCTTATGATTTCCTTTTGAGTTCTGGAAAGGGACAGAGCTAGAGGATTGTTGGGAATAAAGGGCACCAGCTTCCTGGAGGGTTTGTGAGTGGAAATTGTCAAGTGCTTGGGGGAGCAGTAGAAAGAAAATCTGGGGAGGTTTGAGGTTGTTGGGGGAAGAAGTGCCAAGAAGCCCCATTTTACTGTGATGATTCAGCAGTATCGCGGTTAAGCAGCATGTGTCTGGGCTTCTCCCTGGTCTCAGGGTTATTTTCCATAGAGTTTCTTTGAGCCTGTGTCATTCCTCAGGTGTGAGGCAGAGGAGATGAAATACCGAGCTGCATCAGATTGTCTGTAAAACTGACCTTTATTACCCTGTTTGGTTTCAGGGCTCTCCTGGCTTTTTAAAGCTGCTCTTTTTCAGTAGCAAGGGTTGATTTACTCGATTTTTTGGTGTTGTTTTTTTTTTTTTTGTTTTGTTTTGTTTTTTGTTTTGTTTTTTTTTTTATTTGTGTGTGTGTGTGTGTGTGTGTGCGCACGTGTATCGGTTTTATTTTTCCTTCTAATGTTTCCCTGTAGAAATCATCTGCAGGACAGATGGCCCGCTATGCTTCTGGGACTGTCTCCCACAAACACCTGTCCGAGGCAGCTGGGAAATCAAAGAGGAATTCTTCTTTTTTAATGCCCTTAAAGAAAAACAGCACCCCATCCCAATACACTGTATTTCCTTCTCTCTTTCCATCCTCCCAGCTCCCTGGGAAAATTGAAAGCGAGGGGCTGGCAATGGGCTGAGCCCCCGAGCCATCGGCAAGAGCGAGGGGAGATTTTGGGGCGAGGGATTGCTGCGGTCGGCTGGGCTGGGAGCCTCTGCAGCAGGGGGAAGGATGATGGAGGGGATGGTCTGGTATGTAAGTAATACAAATGGGAGCTGCTGAAGCAGCAGATTGTATCTTGTGTCCTTTGTATTTGCAGCCAAAACATGCCTGAGCAGCAAGGGATGGGCTACTTGAGGAAGCTGAATAGTATATAGATTCTGATTGCTATATAACATCTCCTGTGAAATCGAAACTTTCCTGCAAAAGGAAATTTGAAAATCATGGGAAATAAAACCCTTGAGCTGGGCCATGCCTTCTAGACGGGCACCCGATCGTGGTGCTTCTTGGGGTGGGATGCTTTTATGGCCACAGGTTGCTTGCGGGCAGGAGCCAGGGTGCCTGGGGGCTGCAGAAGACAGGCGGTGAGGAGGGTGCAGGGGCTGAAGCAGGCGGAGGGGAGAGCTCAGGAGGTGTGGGACAGGCTGAGCAGGCTTTGGGTGTCCCTTTCTGCCTGCAGCGGTAACGGGGCGTAAGTAACACAAATGAACTCTTGCCTGGGCTGTGGGTTGTCCCCTGGCGAGTGGTGGCGCGGGGCTGGCCACATCCCTTGCGTTCGTGGTTGAGGCACACGGTGGCTGCGGGGCCAGCTCTGCACCGCTCACACATGGCATCGGAGGGCACCCGGCGTGTCTGGCCGTGGGGCATGTCTGACCTGAGCTTTGGATGTGCCTGAGGAGACCCTCAGTGCATCACAGGTCGTTTGATTTTGAGCCTTCCTCTGGCTTCTCTGCAGGAGATGACCTGGAGGCACCTGGAGAAGATGCTTTTTGACCCTAGGGGTTTTTACTTTGCGTTTTCATTGTGGGTAAGGTCAGGAGAGATACTGGCTAGGTTGGTAGGTTTTCCCTAGGGAGGACACAGCATCCCTGTGCCTGTTGGAGTTGCTTAAGGAAGCAGCAGGGCCGTGGCAGAGTTGAGAATGAACCCCTGGCAAGAGATGTTTCCTACTGGTGTTGCAAAGAACCTTCTGTAGTGAAAGGGCTGGTGTTTATGTGGGAAGGGAATCCCATCTACCTGGCTTGTTACAGGTGAGAAATCTGAAGTATCCCTGTTGCTTAGGTGCACAGACTGTGCCAGACTGAGCAGGAGCAGCAGCCACATTATGCTGCCGTGGTGGCTGGGTGCTAATTGTTTTTGCTGCCTGAGCATCACTTTATTTTTGGCTTGATCAAGTTTCATTCCCTGTAGGTCTCTGAGGCTTCCTGGCCTGCAGAAATTGCTTTGGGAGAGTTTCTCTTCTGTAGGGTGGAGAACCTACACCTCTCATCCTGGGCGTGGGTCACAGTATATTCCTCCCAGCTAAAAAAATGTCAATTATTCTGTTGTTTTAAGATGTGTTGCTAGCCCCAAGCATGCAGGGCGGCGCTGCAGCTGAAATGGAAGTAATCCACTGGGAGACAGGGATAGTGCTGGACTGCTGCAGCTGGCTGGTGGCAGAGAGGTCCTCATCGTCTAGATCCCTGTTCTGGATAGAGATCTAGGCAGGGAGCTGGTTTGGTTCACCATGGGTTTGGGACATGTAGTTGCAGAAATACAGCATGAATCATCGACTGGTTTGGGTTGGAAGGGACCATAAAGCTCAACCATTCTCACTCCTCTGCCCCGGGCAGGGCCCCCTTCCCCCAGCCCAGGGGGCTCCCAGCCCCGTCCAACCTGGCCTTGAACCCTTCCAGGGAGGGGGCAGCCACAGCTGCTCTGGGCACCCTGAGCCAGTGTCTCACCCCCCACACAGGGAAGGATTTCTCCCTTGCATCTCATCTGAATCTCCCCTCTTTCAGTTTAGAGCCATTACCCCTTGTCCCATCCCCACCCCCTGACCCAGAGTCCCTCCCCCCCTCTCCTGCCCCCCCCTTTAAGCCCTGGGAGGCCGCTCGAAGGGCTCCCCGGAGCCTTCTCTTCTCCAGGCTGAACCCCCCCAACTCTCTCAGCCCGGCCTCCCAGGGGAGCTGCTCCAGCCCCCCCAGCATCTCCGTGGCCTCCTCTGGCCCCACTCGAGCAGCTCCGTGTCCTTCTGCTGTTGGGGGCCCCCGAGCTGCCCCCAGCACTGCAGGGGGGTCTCCCCAGAGCGGAGCAGAGGGGGAGAATCCCCTCCCTGGCCCTGCTGCCCCCCCTGCTCTGGCTGCAGCCCAGGACACTGGTGGGTTCTGGGCTGTGAGCACACGGTGCTGGAGTACAGCTGTACATTGGTGGTTACCTGGGACGTGGGGAATTCTGGCTCGGGGTCTGCTCCACTGTGGGCTTCCTGGGAAACTTTTATTAGGCCATTTGGATAGAATGCACAAAGATGCTTTGTGGCTCTTGGGTGTGCTGTTGGGTTACACACAAGGGATTTGCCTCATCTCTCAGGATTTCAGTGCCCTGAAGTGTCTGAGGTTGTTTACCAAGAGATTTTATGCATGTAAAAGTAAGCAGACTGAGCCTTCATATGTAGGGGGGGGAAAAAAAAAGAGTCTTAGATCCCACTTGATTAGGCAACAGGGTAATGTTTGCAAGATTTGGGGTACTTAGTACGTCTGTAGATCCTGTCCTTAATCTACTGGTGCTTCCTGAGTGGGGATATCATCTGTCCTGAAGGTGCAGGGCTGTAGTAAGGTGAGATTATAAAACACTGAGATGCTTTGTTAATAAGCCTCCTGGACAAGAAGAGGGAAGAGATGTCTGTCTGGTTGAAAATGGTATGTGGAGTTATCTTTTCCTTTCTGGCCTGCCTTACTCTTGTATGAGTGCTCTGACCTGTGCATCCACCACCTCTCCTTGCCGTGCCTGTGTGTTTGAGCCCAGACTTTCTCGCTGTCTCTGTCACCGAGTCATTATGGGGTCCAGAGCAGCAGCTGTGGACCTGGCACTGCCCTCACCGGGAAGGAGACAGGACCACCAGCACCTGGAGGAACAGCAGAAGGGCTGCACAAATGCGTTACAGCTGCCTTGTAAGAGAATTGCTGTGGGCATCGGCCTGGCTGTGGCTACCCTCCCAGGGAACTCTGCTGCTGTTAAGGAGCAGTTCTGCTGCTTTGTATTTACTAGCGGTTCTCAACCTGTGGTCCATGAAAGATGCTTAGGCATGGCAAGTGCCCTGTTGGGCTGTTAGAAGGGACATACACATCCACTGCTCCTTTGGTTAACTCTTTGGCATAACAAGTCAAAGTGGGCTCAAGATGTTGAATTGTCTCAGGCATATTGGCTTGGGAAATCTAAAACCAGAGCCTGACAGGATAACAAGAGTCCTCTCCTTGGTGTGACTCACAGAGCTGAACAAACTTGTGGCCAGCATAAATGTATAAACCTTTCACTCATCATCTGGCCTTGACTCTGGTTCATTTTCTCTTCCTCTGCTTGCAGTTTGGAAGTGCTCTCAAACCCTTGGAGTGAGAGGTACTGGAGTGCTACCTCTTTAATTTGAGGTTTGTCAGGTAAAAGGCTTCACCATGGATGGCAGTGCCACCGAAACAATGTCCCGCTAAGCAACAGGGAGCAGCCCCGCCCCGGGGGTCCCCCCGGGGAGCAGCATCCTCGCAGGCGGGCAGGATAGCACCCATCAGCTGCTCGGCAGCGCCTTGCCCAAGCCGCCGGCAATGAACTTCAGGTGCCTGCAGGAACAGGGTCCGGTTCCCCTCTCGCAGCCCCGCGCACTTCCCTTGATGGGTGAGCAGCTCTGGCTGCTGCAGCATCTCCCCTCTCCCGTGCTGCAGAGCTCCTCTGCTCTCCAGACACTGGGAGGGAAGTGGAGATGCTGGGGGAAGAGCTGTGGAGGTGGGGAGAGATTGAGCTATCATTAGCGTGGCACCAGTGAGGTTTCGTTGCACCACAAAGCAGTAGCTATCAAAATTGAGTGCAGTGTGCTGAACAGCTGAGCAAGGGAACAGATACTGAAAGGAGCCTGCAAAGGAAAAGGATTTTGGAGGAAAAAAAAAAAAAAAAAAAACAAACAAAAAAACCCAACCCCCTTTCAACTGCACATAGGCACTGCCCATCACTGACAGCTGTGTCGGGGAGTAGGAATTGCCTGTTTATGGGGATTGATCTGCGCAGCCCCTGGGATGCTCAGAAAACGGATTAAGGAGAAAAGAATCGCGGGAGAAGGAGGAGGTGGAGGTTCCCCTTTGAAAATGCACGGGCTAATAGAAAACATCCTCTAAATTGTCAGTGTGTCAGGATACATTCATGTAAGTATAACATTTTCAAATCCTCTGCATCTTCTATCTGAATGTCACTGAATTAGCACTAATGCATTTGTTAGCTCATTATTCATTAATATTCATTATTCATTAGACTGGCTCTTTCTCTGGAAGATGGGGATAATGAGACGTGGGACTGACTGCAGGGCCATGCTGTAGCTGTGCTTAGTATGGTGGGAGTGTGGTTTTATATACCAGAATGGCCTTCAGTGAGTGTTTTATTGGCACTTGTATCTGCCCTACGTTGTCCCAGCTCCTGGCCAGTGGTTTACCAAAAAATAGTGGAAATTCTTAATGGGAGAGCAGTGCTAATGATGGCGTGGATAAATTTCCATCAACTCCTGCCATGAAAGCAATTGGCGAGACAACTGCTGAAGGCAAATTTTGATCTTTTGGCCTGTGGTCAGAGTTGCAAAACCGCCTCTGTAATCACGGAGCTGTTATTCACCGTCTTCATCAGTGAGTCATGGACAACCCCTTCAACCCCCATCACCCTCCTTTGCTTGTTGCCCTTAAGAGAGATGCTCTGGATATGAAGATGTCTCTTCATTTTTCTTCCTTCTTTTCTCATTTTTTTTTTTTCTTTGCTGTCCCATCTTCCCTTCCCCTGCCATTTCTGACCATGAAGAGGAGAGAGCAGGAGGTGTGGGCAGCAGGCTTTCCCTGGCAAAAAGGCAAGAGGTGCCAGGCTGGTGTGACCAGCATACTCAGCACCTCAAGTCCTATCAATACCAGCAATCCTCAGGTCTTTCATCCCTGGGGAGGGCTTTGGTGGCCCACGGCCAGTAGGATGGTGCTGCTCTGCCAGCCTCCCTCAGCTAGCAGGTCTTCGTGGAAGCACTTCTCTTTGCTCCCTGCCAAAGCACGCAGGGGAGGAAGAGTGGCCAAATAGGTACCAGCACCTTTGCAGGGGTGCGAGGGTCCTTCTGGCAGCGTGGCATAGCTCGGGCACTGTGCGCCAGCCCTTTGCTTGGGGTTGTCTTCCCCCGGGTCCCAGGAGCTGAGTTGGGTCACAATGAGGGACGTGGCATGGCCTCAGGGTGGTCCTGAGGCTGAGCGTGAGAGAGGAGCCTTCAGCAGAGGGGTGTTGCCTTAGGATTGGGCTGGATAACTTGGGTCGGAAAATGCCAGGCTAGGAAAACCACAGCTACAGATCTCTGGTTTCAGCAGCAGTGCGGTTCTGTGGGAAACCGCTCGTCACCCAACCTTGTGAGTCTGGGTCTGCCAGGAGCGGAAAGGGCTGCAAAAACTGTAGTAAAAAAAATGAAAAAGAGGTCAAGCTTTTCTTTTTGACATATCACTCTGGGTGTGGGGTGGATTTTGTGTGCAGATTATCTAGATTTGAGTACCCACAAGCTATTGTGACAATTTGGGTTGGCAAACTCCAACCTAAAGTAAGTAAGTGCTAGCAGCTATCTTTTGAGCGTCTTGCCTTTTGCTAGACTGTAGGCATGAGTATACAGCTTCCACCTTCCTCCTGAGCAGTTGTTTTCCATTGTCCCACTTCTGAAATATGTCTGGATCCTGGCTGCTGCGTCTGACTCTGTGCTGCCTTTCCAGGAACCTGGGTTTAGTTATTCAGTGGAATAAGAGCAAAAACCCTCAATCAAACAAAAGCCCCCTACGATCCAAAAGAAGCCCCTGCAAAGCCCTGAGCCGCTGAACTGACTTGCTGAAAAGGATTTTGCCTGTGGTCCGCTGAAGGGGTCTTACTAAACCCTTGATCAGAGGATTCAGGCTTTTGCACTGTCCCAGCGAGACCTCTTATAGCTTGGACGCTGGGCACTTTGCAGACATGACTGTCAGCTCTGGTCTGGACAACCATTGGGAAGGGTTTTCCCCGTGAGAGGGAAATCCTTCGCAAGGCAGCAGGACGGCACTTGCATGCACAATGCCAAAGCAAACGGCACCTCGTTTCATTAGTCCCCGAAGACTCGTAAACGTTTTAGACACAAACATAAATCCTTCTTTCCCGGGGCAGCCGTGGGAGGGCTCGGATGGGGCGTGGGGCTGCCGGTGCTTGAGCCCTGCACTTGCTTGGGTTGGATTAGCTCTGCCCGGAGCCTGCGGGGATTCATCTGGGGGTCCCTGGGAGGGCGAAGCGGTAAATGGAAAAACGTGTTTGTGTTCAGCTGAGCCCAGATGAAATGAAGTCAAATTAGAAGAAAAGGCTTGCTGAGCTGAGGGTTTCCAGGGTTGTATGATTGCAGGATGATACAGGTGGATTTCATGGGACTCCTGACACTTCTACCATTATACCACCATGCCAAGACAGAAGCTATCTTTTCCAACGTAGCTTCTGTCAGTTATCTTTGCCTTGCTCTTACCCCAGATAGTGTTTGTACTTTCTAGTTGCCATCATCTTCTATTTCCCAGAAAGCAACACAAGGAAGGTCTTCTCTCCGGTTTGTTCAGGGGCTGGTGTGTTCTGGCATAACGCGAGGCTGCACCAGCTGGAGGGGGGACACAAATAAATACCTGAGAGTTGTGTGGTATTTGGGCTGAAATGGCAGTTGAAGGGTGTGATGATGTATGGCACAGAGAAAGACAAAAGGCAAAGCATTGCTTAATAACTTTAATTCCCCTGGTCTGCGATGCATTTAATTCCTCTAATCTGGGGAACAACAAAGAGGTACCAGTGGGCATTGCCTCATGCTGGGATGATAAACTATGTTTTATAGGTCAAAAGCATTTGTAGCTTAATGCCCATGCTAAAGCCACACTGCTCTGATTTTTTTTTTTTTTTTTCTTTCCCACCTCGGCAGATCCCGGTGACGGTGGGATCACCCTGAGATGAGCCACCCATAGCCAGGGCCGGCCCCACTGCCAGGGCTCGCTGCCCTGGGACGATGAGGAGCTGTCTGCTGGCCTAACGAGAAGATTTTGTGGTGGTCTTGGGGTTTTTGGTTTTTTGTTTTATTTTTTTGAGGGGGAGGAGGTTGGTTTTTTTTTTTTTGTTGTTTTTTTTTTTTTGTTTTGTTTTCCCTGGACCTCGTGAAACTTCATGTGACGGCGGAGCCGCTTCCCTCACCCGCCTCGCGCCGCCTCACAGCCGGGGGCTGGGTGGCGGAGGGCCGCCATCATGGCGGCGAAGCAGCCCCCGCCGCTGATGAAGAAGCACAGCCAGACCGACCTGGTGAGCAGGCTGAAGACGCGCAAGATCCTGGGGGTCGGCGGGGAGGACGACGACGGCGAGGTCCATCGCTCAAAGGTGAGGGCAGGGGAGAGGGAAGCGTGCAGTAGTGGTGGAAAAGAGACCTTCTGCCTAGGCAAAGCCAGGTGGCGGGGGGTGGGTTTGTAGCGTCTTAACTTCTGCAGCCTCTTTGGCAAAAAAAACAACTCCCTGGGGCTCCTGCCAAGGGAGGGGTGAAGGCTGTGGTGGCACAAGCAATGCCACCTTTGAGCAGCGATGGGCCATGCAGCCTGCTGGGCGCACGGGAGCTGCCCAAGGGGGTTTTTTGGAGGTCATGGGGTGAGCTCTGCCCTCAAGCCGCTTGAATCCGTTCCTGAAATTGTATTGCTGAGACACCCATGAGCTGGCTCGGAGCTGGTGCTGCAGGACCATGGCACCACCAGTGCTGGTGGCCCAGACACTGGAGTGGCAATTTAAGTGGTGCCTCTCAGAAGAGGCCTGAATAGCAAACAAACAACCCATTTCAGCAAAATACCAGAGCTGGAGGACAAGGGGTGAGTCCCACAGGAGCCCAGTCCTGGGTGCTCTCTGGAGAACTTGCTGTCAGGGCATTGCCTGGCTCCTGCCTTCACAGATGAATCCCTTGTCCTCGTCCATGCCCTCTTCGAGATAAACCCCCACAGTGGTGTTAGGTATGTGCTTTTGGGCTGGTGAATCCTGCCTGAAGGCTGGGGAAGGGTCTGCTCAGTCACCTCGTGTGTCTTTTATTTGAATTTCAGATTAGCCAAGTGCTGGGAAATGAGATCAAGTTTGCTGTCCGGGAACCGCTGGGGCTCAGGTACGATATCGGGCCACCTTGGAGCTGCGGGCCCTCAGCCGCGACATCCCTGACAGCTCTGGCCACTGCACCGCCATCGCTGCTCTCCCTGCAAGGGCTTCTCAGGGGCCACGGGGCCAGACCAGCTCTGCTTTCTGCCCCCGTAAATCAGCCTGAGGCCCTCCAGCTGGTTTATTCCCACAGCGGGTGCTGGGAACCTCGCCAGCGAGGCTGGTCTGCGTGCTGAGGCCGGAGCTGGCTGGGTGCGGGGAGCTGAATCCTCCCCGCGGGAGGCTTGTGGCTGCCTCGGTTGTGCGAGGAGGGAGGACGAAGGCTGATGACCGAGCAGGCAGCCAGGAATGTTTTGCGAAGTGTGTGACTGATGGGATCCCCCCTCCGTGCTCATGCCGGGTCTTCTGTCTTCCCTCTCACGCAGGGTCTGGCAGCTGGTTTCCGCCATCATGTTTTCCGGGGTCGCCATCATGGTAAGTGAGGAGGTGCTCCTGGGCTCCCAGCCCCAGCGTGGCTTCTCGGCCCCCCGGCATTTCTCCCTCTCCTCTGCCTCCAGCAGTTGCCCCCCCCCCACTTTCTCTTGCGAGGCCTTTACCCTCACCATGACTTTGCCAGCAGCGCCCTTGGCGGTTGGCTCCCATCACCGGCGTCTGTTTTCATTAGCAGGGTCATAAACCACACACGGCATGGCTGCCTCGGCTGTAGAAACCGGCTGTGAAGCCAGTAGCTGACCCGCTGATATTTCTTATACCTCCTAAATTTCCAATTACCTGCCCAGCGGCTCCGATCCAATAAAGGCTTGATGTCGGAGCACTGCTCCCCCTGGCCAGCGCGGGCTGCTGAGTCTCTCCTTTGCCTCTGCCAGGCCCTCGCTTTCCCTGACCAGCTCTACGACGCCGTCTTTGATGAGGAATCGATGAGCAGCAAGACTCCCATCCGGCTCTACGGGGGAGCCCTCCTCAGTGAGTGCCGTACCTGGGGCCAGAGGAAGGGGACGAGAGGCCAAAATGGCAGGAGGTGGTGGAAAAGTCTGTGCGTCGCTGGGCAGCTGCAGCTAGCAACAGAACGTCCACTCTTAGCAAAAATATTGTTTAGGGGTGTTCTGAAAAAGCTCAGCTACTGCTGCTTTTTCCGAGGAGGGGCTCAGGCACGCTGCAGGTAGGGTAAGAAGGGCTGTGCATGCTCTAAATACCTGGGGGAGTACCCCAATGCCCCGGCAAAGGGAGGTTGCAGACGGGCTGGGAGAAGGGGTGCTGGGCTACAGCTGGGGCCAGACCCTCTTCATGGGAGTGGGAGAGGAGGTGCAGGTGATGGCATCCCGGGGGTGGGGCTCAAAAGGTGGGGGGGGCAACGGATAAGAAGGTGAGGGGAGCATAGAGAAATGGTCTGGAAAAGAAAAACGAGTTGAGGTGGGCGGCTGTGGCTGAGGGCAGGCGGTGGGGCAGGATGCCGTGGGCCGGCTGGGCGGCCCCTTCCCACAGCCTGCAGCAGCACCTCGTGGGGATGGCTGGAAACGCAGCGGCCACCCGTGGGAGCCCGGAATGGTTCCCCGAGGCGAGGGGTGGGCTGCCCCTTCCCGGTGACCCCCTCTGGGGGCAGCTGTGTTCTGATGTTGTCGCCCCCCCCCCCCCCCGCCTTCCCCAGGTATCTCGCTCATCATGTGGAACGCCCTGTACACGGCCGAAAAGGTCATCATCCGCTGGACCCTGCTGACGGAGGCATGCTACTTTGCCGTGCAGTTCCTGGGTGAGTAGCTGCACCCCCGCATAGGGAGGAGGATGCAAAGGGTGGGGGTACACGCTGCCTATCCCCCACAGAAGGGGAGACGGGCAGAACAACCCATGTGAGTGGCGAGGGACGGGATGCAAAACGGGAGCAGTGCCTTTGGGGCTGACGGGGTAAACACGAGGCTTGGAGGAGCCATGGGGTGAGGCCCTGGGAGTCGGGGTGCACTGATGGGAATCTCTGCTGCCTGTCTGGCACAGCCACGGGGCACCCAAACCCCAGCTGATCCCGTGCCGTGCCTGGCTGGTGCTGGAGATGGCTTCTTCGCTCTGCGGGGCTGGCAAAGGTAACCTGGCCCCAGGAGCATCTTCCCTGCCAGCTGCTCTCCCTTTTTCCTTCCCCATGGAGTAGCCTCTGCCTCGGGCTGCTCACTGAAGGGTGCCCAGGTACAGGGGAAACCTCTTCCTCTGATGATTCATTTATTTTTCTCCCTAAAAACATGCTGGCCTTCATAAGCAGCACAGGTCATCTCCTGGAGCGGGCTGCCTAGGTGCTGTGGCTAACAAAAAATGACTGCAGCAACCTACACTAAAAAGGGGGATGTTCAGTCTTACCAAAACAGAGAATAACAGTTCAGCTTGTTTCTAGGGAGCTTATCTATATTTAACAAAGAAGGGGGTTCTTGTATGTGTGTATTGGTAGCTCACTAACTGTGTTGTAAGGTAGCTGGTTTAGCTACGGGCTACGTGGTGGTAGCCAAAATAGAGAGATGCTCAGAAAAGAGGTGGTTGTGTGTGTGGACTGTGCGTGTTTTGTAGCTGCTTCTGAAGTTGAAAAAGGTTTATCAGCACTGAAGGGGTCGAGCCACAAAGCAAATACAGGAACACGCAGCTTCCACAATTAACACCCGAGCACGGCAGAAATGCGCATCTGCTCGCATGACCGTTTCGGGCTGTGGCTGCCTTTAAAGTGGGGTTTGCGTGAGAACCCTGGGGACCGTGGGCCTGTGGCTAACTTCAAGGCTGTGAAACCAAGCTAGTGAAGAACCTCTGCCATGGGCTCCCTGTCTTGTGTGAGCCTGTGCTGGAAGCTCCTCAAGCGTTAGAGGGCAGTAGAAAACAGCTTTGCGCTACTTGTCTCCATTTGTTTTTTTTCGTCACCAACCTCTGCCTTGTCTCCCTCCTTCTCCTCCAGTTACCACTGTCTCCCTGGTTGAGAGTAGCCGGATAGCCACAGGTGCTGTGCTCCTCCTGGTCAGCCGAGCCCTCTTCATCCTCATCAGCATTTATTATTATTACCAAGTTGGACGCCGTCCCAAGAAAGTCTAATTCCTGGGCTTTTTGTCATGGGAAGGGTGGGAGGGGGGAGTTTGTGTCGGTAATTTTGCGTTATAATTATAATTTTTTTGTTTGGTTGTGTTTTTTTTTTGTTTTGTTAGTCCCTTTCGGTTCTAAAGCGGTTTCCTTCTTTTCCACTTACCGGCATGAATCGATGTGTAACCGGGTGCTGGTGGCATTACCAGGTGAAATGGGGGGGCGGGAAGGCGGGGGGGGAAGCAGCATCAGGTGGGATCCCCCACAGCCCCTCTGCAGGAGGTGAGGAGCAGCGGGAGGAAGGCTCAGGGAGGTGTGTGGGCCTGGCAGGCTCAGGGAAAAGAGCCGGTTTCCCAGGGGGGGGTGGGGGGGTGGGGTGGGGAACTGGCCGATGGGATCACAGGCTCCGAACCCACTGGAACAAAGCACAAAATCAGACCAGCACATTGAAACCAAATCCTTGAGGAGACGGGACGGCAAGACAAGCACCGCAGGACTCGCTGACTGCCCTGGGTAAGCCTTGCAGCTGCCTGGCAGCGTGTGCCCTCCTGTACAGCCCCTTCCTTCCCCTTTTAGCAAGCACTGACTGTCCAGGTAGCTGGGGCTAGGCCAAGCTCAGTGCTTTGCAAACAGCTCTTCTTCCCTTGCTGCTAGAGGTGCCGCCCCGTTGTATGGTTTTGCACCGGGTGCTGCGCAAAGCTTGGCAGGAGATAGAGGAAGGGAAGAGGGAGACCCCCTCCCTCCTTGCTTGTTCCCTTTGCAGGGGCAGCACGGGGACCAGCAGAGAGACTTGAACTTACAATACATGAGAAGCAAAGGGAGCTATCAGAAATCACCCGCTGAGCACAGACATCCCTTTGCTTGGGCTGTTTCGTGAAGTTTCTAGGCTGGGGACCGGTCCCCTTCACCCCAGAACGCTCCCTGCAGTTGCAGCTTTACCGACGGTAGCAGCAGTGGTGGGTATGAGGCAGCGGCCGATTAGCTGAGCAGGGGCTGGAGCGCTGTTGTGGTTAGGGCTAGTAAGAGCAGAGCCAGCAACAGTACAGCTGCTTGGGTCAGTGAGCGGCTTCTGGAGACGAGCCCCAGCTGTGGGAGACGGCGTTCCAGCTCTGCTGATGTGCAGGCATCGCACCTCTTCTGACTTGGAGACGAGAGGACCAAAGTTTGTAGCGTTAAGATACTTCACCGGGATGAAGAACGGCAAGGAGAGGGGCGGATGAAGGCATTGCCTTCTCTAGCTCAGTCAAGGAAGGACTAAATGTGCTTTAATACTCACTGGCCAGTTTCTCCAACACCTCCTGGGCTTAACAGTGTTGGCTGCCCTACTTCCTAGCGCTCTCCTTGCGGATTATCCCTGTCCACGGCTGGAGGCGGCATTTTTTGTTCTCCGTGGGACTGAAGCCAGAAGGTCTGCGTACAGGATACGGACCGATTACTCATGTGCTACTGTTGACTGGATCAAAGCATGCCCTGGAATAGAGCTGACGTCCCAAAATCCCAGTAGAAAGATGCCTACGCAAACAGAAGTGCTTGTGCAAACAACAGCCCTCAAGCCACTGGTGAGGCCGGGATCTACAGCTATTGCTGTTCAATATCTTAGTAGAGTTAGAAGAAGGTAGTGGGTAGTTACTGTATGTTGTGTTAGTGCTTTTGGCGTTTAGAAGCAGCTGCATAAACTTGGGACACTGTGTGCGTTGTACCTACTGGCCATGCAAAATGTCTGTCAGGTGAGAATATTGGAAATAGTTGAACCAGGAAACATCACAACTGTGATTTTTTAATTTTTTTTTTTTCCTAAGAAGTAAATCAAATGGCGAGGCAACATCCAACAGCCGGCTAAATGCTGGAGCCACCCAACAACACGTGCCTGCCAAGCTGCTTTCAACATGTCCAAAATACGAAAATGAGCAACTAAAACTTCTATTTAAGAGGAGCCTTCCTGTGCAGGTGGAAGAGTTGGGCTCTGAGAGGAAAACCTTTTCCCTGTGAGGCGAGTGCAGCCTGGAGGGCAGCACAAATCAGCGCGAGCGGTGCTGTGGGGGGCAGCTGGAGTGTGGCACACCGTGGCTGTGGCTCTCACCTCACGCCCCACCTCCACGAGCAGCTGCAGTGGCTTCAGCACTTGGGCCGTAGTTGTTGGTACAGGCACGTGAAGCTTGATTCTTTGTGTTTTGGGGGTCACACGAATGTATACACAGACTGATCACCTTTTTTTTTGGGGGGGGGGGGGGAGTGTGAGTGTGGGAAATTACGTTTTTTAGGAAAGACAAGTAAAACTGACCGCAGCAAAAGCGATCTTGAAGGAAAGGGAGGGTCGTCACAATGCTGTCCTCCCATCTGCATAGACCACAGGTCCTAGGAACTTAGTTCTGGCTGCTTGATTACTGTACCTTAAAATGTCATCCTGCAGGTGAGAGAAATGAGTTACTGCACTATGTGAGAGCAGTTCTGCAAAGATTTGTGGATGGTTAAATCGGGTGGGGGAAGCAGTTACAGCTTTCCAAAGGAGCTTTAAATCAGGTGAGGCCAGATTCCTCTGGTCCCCTGCTTAGCAGCTGCAAAACTTACACCAGTGAGCCACTTCAAGTTTGGCCAGTCAGTGTCTTCTGCTCCAATACAGAGCAAAGCCCAGAGGAGTGGCCACGTGAGAGATTTCATGCTACTTGGTACCTAGTCCTGAAAGGCGAGTGATGAAGAAGTTATTTTCTTTTCATGCTTGCTCCATCTTGCTATAAATGGGCCACGTAGAAAGTATGGAAGCGAACTGGGGCTCTACACCTCTTCTACAACTAAGTGAGAAGGGGTAAATGGATGGCCCTGCCTAGCAATGGCTGTGGTCCCTGGCACGGTCCCTCCTCATCAGCAAGGGGCTGCAGGAGGAACCCACTCCAGGAGGTGAATTTGTAGCAGCTGAGGTCTAAGATGGAGTTTCTCAGGGTGGCTTGAGGCAGGAGCCCGGGCAGAGCATCTGCAGCGCCGCCACAAACCAGCTGTGCCAGATCATCCTCACTCTGTCCTGAACGGGGGGAGGAAAGGGAGGAGGATGCTGAAACGTTTCTACAGAACTGTGTCCCTAAGGGCAGGAGCGCTGGCCTGACGGCTGCCGGTGGCAGCTGAGCATATAGTTTGGGATCAAAAAGCCTGCGGGCGTCACTTCAGGCTCAGCTACTGATCTGCTGAGAAAACAACTCCATCTCCACAGGCCTCAGTTTCCTTGCCCGTTAAAACTGTGAGCAAGGCCTTGGACTGACATCGTCTCCCAAGGGAGACTGCAAGGAATTACCTGCAGTTGTGTAAAGTTGTGCAGGGCTGGGAGCAGCGGTCCCCAGAGGGGGTTGTGCTCTGAGCAGGCACAGGCCAGGGCTAAGGCTGACCCCCTTTCTCTGCCAGCGATGGACCCAAACCCTTGCGTTCACAGAGCTCTTGCTTTCGAGGGTGAAGAAGGCTCATCATTCACCTAACTCACGCCCTACATCGCCTTATTTATGCCTAACCAACATCTGGCAAACTGGAGCTGGTGGCAAAGGAGAGGCTCTGTCCGTCCTAAGCCGACCTCTCCTTTCTGGTCAAGGGTTTTTACTTGGGGTGGGGGGGGGGGGAGGGCAGGGGAGAATGGGACACTTCAGTTTATACCTCATTTTAGCTGCTGTACCTGAGTTTATTCTTTCTCCTCTGGTAAGAAAGTGACTGTACTTAACACCAAGCAAATAGTGAAAATTAAAGCCGTTTCACTTCACTGTCACAATATCTTTCTTTTATTTTTTTTATTTTTTTTAAGAAATGCACACAAAAACCGTGCAGAGAGTGCTTCAGGCTTGTGTTCTGGTTTATATTACCAAAAAAAAAAAAAAAAAAATTCCTTTCAATATAAAAAAGCATTACAGTAGGGAATACAGGATAAATTAGCTCCACTATCTAATAAAAAGAACATTTACAGGTTTTTGTTTTTGTTTTTTTTTAAAATAGATTTCAAACATTATTTCACACGCAGCCCTTTTCCCAGGCATTCGTGACAGTCATGTGAGCATTAAATAACAGCCGGGAGGCAGGGGCACTGAGAGGGGCTGTGGGCTCGCAGGCACGGGCTGCTCTCCGCTGCTTCCATCCCGTGGTCACAGTGCTACGGCGAAGGAGCCGGCAGCTCCCTCTGGTCCCCGGCCTGCCCAGAGCTCTCCAGCCAGCAGTCCATCTAGCTCGAGTCCCCAACCCCAAAATAGCCACCGGAGCTGTTAAATATAAAAATACAGTTGCTTCTCCTGCCTGCTGTTCTGAAAACTACTGTACAACAGAGGGGGGGGGGGGGGGGGGGTGGGGCAGCCACACAACCAAGGGACAAAAATCAACAAATTTACATGCTTTGCCATACGGCGAGAATCTGCTTTCTGGGCTTGCTTGTTCATTAAATTCCCTTCCCCCCCCCCCCGGGGGGGAAATGCCTTCTGCCCATTACCAGCTTCCACAGGTCCTCTCAGGCTTGTTGGTATCTTTACAGCTATCTCCAGTTCTTGCTTAAAATGTGCTGCCTGGCCTCTGCTGGGGTTTCGGGCCGCGTTCCCAGTGGCACGCTAGCCAGCTGCAGAGGGGATTTGAAGTCTTCATCCAGAAAAGAGCAATGAGGGATCAGACAAGGTAAGAAACAGCTGTGCAAAGGCCGGAATAATGGAAGAGTAAGAGATCCTTCTGAAGATACAGGGACCACCATTAGGGAGAGAAAGGGAGAAAGCTAAAAGCAACGAGTACAGAATCAGGAAAGCCAAAGAGAAACAAGCTGGCAGAGAACTTGCTTCAGGTGTGTATATTTATCACTTCACGCTCTGGCTGCTCTGGTCCGCTTCCCCCAGCTCGGACAGATTTTTCCCCCATGCCACTGGTGGCAGAAAAAGATTTCGTTTTGTTTTGTTTTGTTTTGTTTTCTCCCCTTCAGCCACCCACCATGCACAAATTGGGGTATTCACCTTCCAGGCTCTGACCTGAGACAGCCAGACCTTTGCATAATAAACTGAGGGGAAAGGAAAAAAACGGAGGCTGGCGGCAGCGGTTTTGCTTCTCTTGCTCACCTCCAGCCAACTTACTATCTCTGCTGACGGTTTTGTTCCTCCCCTGGGAATCGCTCTCCCAGAACACTCACTGACACCAGCTCCTGAGGCAGAAGCAGACCAGTTAAACCCCCCCTCTGCTCAGCCCGTTCCCTGCAAGACTCTTAGATGCAACAGATTTTTCCTATCTTAAGCGCAGCACCTGCTGTCGAGTATAAATACTGCTGGTTTTTGGCTAGCATAACTGTTTTCTTTCATTAAACAACAGACCAGAATTTAATGCTAAAATGCCTCATTAAAAGAAGGTCCAGAGGGAAATAGTTCAGAAAAGCTTTCCGCAAGGTTTAATGCAACATCTGAGGCCGCCCAGCAGCCTTGGCTGCCTATTTCATTGCTGGAATATGCTGACTGCAGCACGGGGTGGGGGGCTGCAGCTCTACCTGCCCGGGCCCTCTCCCACTGATGAGCAAATGGTTATTCCCAAATGAAGCTTGGAAAAGCTCTAATGCCTCTTTCCTGTTCCTCAGCATCCCGGTTCCCCCAGCCTGGCTATTTAGCCAGGATCTTTGTTTATGATGGACCAGGCTTTCTGCCGCTTTCCTCCCTCCCTCCCTCCCTCCCCTGGAGCCTGTGCAGTGTGACTGGGAGAGCCCAAGGGACACAGCCCCACCGGTGTAGGGACAGCCAGATGCTGTACCTGCTGCTGCAACGCCAGGGCACGAGGTTACTGCTCGGCTCCTCGCTGCTGCCTTCTGCTCCCCTCTCCTTCCTTGCCGGTGTTTATGGCTTTCAGAGGGGCTGGTGTAAGCCCATATAAAACTACTCCATAATCTGAGCCTATAAAATCTGTAAAAAGACCTAAGCTAAACAAGAAACCGCAGCCCCTTCTGTCCTTCCCCAAGCAAAATGAGCTTGGGGTCAGGGAGTGACCAAATAAACAATTAGGGTAACAGGGGTTGATGCTTCCAGAGGAGAGAAACCAATGACCTGTCCGGTTTGATAACCACAGCCACTGGAGCAGCGGCTGGAGCGGTTTGGCTGCACACTGGGTGCTCTCAGAGCCTGCCTGGGGCCTCAGCAGTTCCATCTTAACCTCTAACCAAGGTCCAGTCCCAGGCATCTTTCTCAAGTTCAGTCCCAAATGATTAAGTAGATGGCACATTAGTTAAATGTCAAAACTATCTCAGGGGAGGGAGCGCTCTCAACTAACAGGCAGACTAAACCAATTCTGACTTGGTGCTTTTGTCATGAACCCGTGAGCGGATCTCGGGGGAAATCCTCAGAGCAGAGCTGACACCACGAGCCCATTGCAGGCAAACAGCATGGGAGTGCCTGACAAGCCTCAGCCTTCTCCCTCCAGCAACATGCCCGGAGCTTCCCGTAGGGCTGGAAAGCACATAGGAACCACTGCAAATATTTATGCTAACAGAGCACCACAAACCGTTTTTTGCAAGTATGAAGGGAATGGCAAAGGCCAACGAGATTTAAACGCTATTTCCTCCCCTTCTCGGGAAGGCAGCAGTATCGATGATTCTTGACCAGAGCCATTATTTTTCCCAGGAGATGGGAACATAGCAGGGAACCATTTGGACTCTTTCACAATGAGGAACAGTAAATCTCGGTAAAAACAGAAAGGTAGGCACCAAACTCTTGATCACCAGCCAGCCTTAGCTGAGTCCCATTGCTAAGTGAGCTTGTGGCTCCGGAGAGAAGCCGGCCTCACCGAAGCGCTTGACTTCTCTGAGACATTTCAGGTGACGGGGACAAAGCTTCCACTGAAGAGTGTGCGTTTTCACTCTGTGGCTGGGAATTAAAGCCAGAACCGCGCAAATGATGACTACCTACTTCTTAGGCAAGCCAGCCTAAGCTTGTTTCAAAGCCCACCCGGAGAGTCCCGGACGTCGGCCACCCTGTTGCCTTACCCAGCCCCTGCACGTCTGTTCCTCAGTCCTCGGCTGCCTGAAGCGTGCTAAAGGCACGCAGGGTAGGGCCGGCCCCGCGGGAGAGGCAATCTGTGCTCGTCCCCGCACTCCCCCCCGCCGGCTCCACCAGCCTCCAGTGCAATCGGCTGCGCTGGGCTCCAGCTCCATGGCTGCTGCGGGTGGCTCTGGGCAAGGGTCCGGCGTACAGTGTAGTGCACATCACCTCAAAGTTCCAGCCCCTGAAGTACAATCCTTTTGGTCATACATATATTACAACCCTCTTTTTTTTTTTTTTTTTTTTTTTCCTTTTTTCTCTTTTTTATCCCCCTACCCCATTTTGTTAAAAAAAATAAAGTTTTTCAGGTGTTCTCAGGTTTTGTTTCTTCTGATTTTTCTTCCTTCTTCTGAAAACATGTGGGGAACAACGGGTGGTTCATGGGCCACCTCTTACTGGATCCCTCGAAAGAGACACATAGCAAAGATCATGGCGAAGAGCTAGGGAAGTGCGGGCGGGAAGAAGAGGACAAAAACAAAACAGAGAAGCACAAAAGTCAGCTGGATCTTCCAGAAGATCAGCAAAGCCCTCCCCGGCCCTGGGACCACTCCTGTCACTCCCTCCTGCCCAGCAGTTGGTGATGCAGCGAGGGGGACCTTTCTCATCACCCAGGGAAGGCTGTGGCAAAACTTTCTTTTCCTTCCTGAAGGCAAACCCTCCACTCTTCCCCCTGCTTTCCGCCAAACCGTTTGCGGCTACAGCGGCAGCCTGGTGTCACTCCCAAGGTGCTGGAGGGGCGCAGGCTCCGCGGTCCCTGCTCTGCCCATCGCTGCTGCTGCCCAGAACGGGTGCAGCGTGGCATTTGAGGGGGTCGCTGGGGCTCTCTGCCCAGATCCCTCTCCTTTGCACAGGACAGAGGACTGGGGAAAGCACCCAGCCTTGCCCCACCGACGCTGTGGGGACATCACTCCTGGGCTAACATCGTGTCTGGCGGGAGCCTGTTCCTCAGAAACATCACCAAACAGCCAGGCACTAGCGCAGGATAATGGAGATGCTCTGGAGCCAGTACGGTTTCAGGCTCTAACCAGGAGTTTTTAAAGCAAAGGCGAGGGTTGGAACACATTAACCAAGTGGCAGATTAATCAGCTTGCTGGGGTGCTGCCGCAATGAGGGTGGTGGCTGTGTGGGCCCATCTGCCTCACTGCTGGACATCTACCAACACTGCTTTTCTCCTGGTCACACCACAGTAAGTACCTCAATAGCCAACACTCCAATGGCCAGGGCTCCTGCGAGGTACACGTAGGTCTCAAAGGAGTTCAGGATCACCGTGTAGCAGCCCTAGGAAGGACAAAAGGTGGTGAGACGCGCCTGAGCAGCCCCTTGTGTTGTCCTCTCAGCACGGCCCTCGTCAGAACAAGAGGTGCTCTCAGATCCAGGCACCACAAGCACGGCACCCTCCCCACCCAGCCCCGCAGCACAGGAGGCAGAGACCCACGGGACAGTGCCAGGGAGGGGAAGAGAGAAGGTTTTTCTGTGGTGGGATGGGAGTGGTTCACCCCCACAACCCCTCACCGACCAGGAGGAACAGTGATTTCTTGCAGGGCAGAGGGGAGCAGCACAGGAGAGGCACTCACTCCGTCTGCAAAAGGCAGAGGCTAAGCCCAAAGGAAAGGACCTACAGGGCAGAAAGGCATCCCAGGCTGGTGAGGGAAAAGGATTTATTTAAAGCCAAGACAGGAGATTCCTGAATCCTCTCTAACAGCCAGCAGCTCTTCCACACCCCAGGACCTTTTCTCTGTGACTTCCCCCAAAGGAGCATGGATGAACACTTGCTGATCTTCTGGCTATAATAGAATTAATTTCATTAAGAACTCAGGGCCATGCACTACAGCAATTCCCCCACTTATTCAGCATAGCCACCATCATCTTTCATGTCATTTATTATTGCTCATACAACTAACAGCAGGTAGATCTTCTGCAAAGGTTTCAGGATGTTTCTGGAAATCAACAGCTTATCCTGGCCTCAGTTCTCCCAGCCTAAAATTTCAACCCACCAGCAAATTTCTGCAAATAGGTCGCGCATAAAGAGAAAAGCAGATTGGAGTTTGTCCAATGTAGAAAGTAGCTCTCCTTCCCACTGAGCATAGACTTCACACATACACGTTTAATCCCCTCCGTACTGCTGGGATGTTTCAATCACCTGATTTTTTCCGTCTGCCCATAAAGAAAATGTCTGAACTGCAAAGGCAGCACACCAGTTACATACGGGTGTCCATGCCAGACCCTGCTCACTGCAGGTGAGACACAACCAGAGAGGAGCCAGGGAGAGGACAGGGAGGATCCACTCCTAAGGCAGGCCTGGGGAGTGCAGACCCTTGGGGCAGTAACCGAGCTGTTAAAACCATCCTCTTGTCAACATGAGACCCCTCAGCAGCATCTCTGTCCCAGCCACGTTTCAACCCAGTTTTCAGGGAAAAGCATCCAGCTCAGCAAGAAAATGTTTGGGTGCTTGCCGGAACTCCAACCTTAACCCAACTTCCAGCACATCCCGCCCAACTGGCTTCAAATTGGGGTGAGCACAAGGGCGGCCGGCCCTGTCCTACCAGCACGGTGTCCCAAGAGCCCGACCTTGCCCCAGAAAATGCCTGAATTCAGCCATCAGTTGCTTGGGAGTGCCTCTCCCATTTCAGAGAAGTGCGTCGCCGTGTGCTCAAGTGACGCTGGCTGTGCACGTGGCTTCTCCCGCCAGCACTCTGCGGTGACACGGGCTCACAGGAGACCTTCCACCTTCCACAGCTGGGCCTCAGCATCGCCGCTTTGGGAAAGCTAAATCCGTTACCTGCTTTAACTCTCTTTCTCAAACTGCATTTCTCCCTCCCGCCCTGCTCCTTGTCATCTCCCTCCTCTCTCTCTTCCCCACTTACTCGCTGCAATCAGACCTGGCAGAAGCAGTGCAGTGATGCCCGCTACGATTTCTCACCCACAGTGCCTTTGCCAACCATTCCCAGCTTCCAGGCAAGGAGCAGCTCACACGCTGCTTCCCAACCCCTTTGTTCTCTTTCACAATCTGCTATCAAGTGCTGAAGAGAGGACCAGCGCTTAGCCTGGGGAGGAAAGGAGGCTTGTACGTGTGGCCAGTGCAGAGCTCAGCTGGCTTACTGATGCTGAGGTGAACACAGCCAGGAACTTTGCTAGAAAGTTTCTTAAACTTCACGTCTTAGTGACACTACAAGGAAACATGGCTCTAGCATCAGTGCCAATGGCACTATGCTTGTTCCAGTCTAGCGCTGGGAAAAATTGCCAAGTCAAGCAGACCTGGCAAAATAAATGCCCTTTTTCTACTGTAAAGAGTAAAAGAGCAAAGAAATGCAGCTTTCCAACACTTCTCCTTCCTCGGAAAACAGACATGGTTTTCTGTGGCTGTTTAACCCTTGATCTCTTGGTCGCATATGTTGTTGATAAGGAATCTTTGTTGCACTAAACTGGAGCCACTACAGCAGCCAGCAAGAGCCAACTCCAGAACCTCCTCGCCGACCTGTGCTGGCTTGCTAGTTAACTTCTCAGCGACAGCACTAACCTTCAGAAACACAATCAAGCTGGATGCAAATTTCCACCCTCATCTCTCAACCCCTCGGGAAAATCTTCATATTTCTGCTGATACAGCACAGCGTGGACTTAGCAGTACACCCAGTGAAAGCGTATTTTCGAAACCGGGCACACGCCGCGACTTCAAAAGCTGTCAGCAGAAGTGCAATTAGGATGTGAGCTACAGTCAGAACGGCTCAACCTGCCAGCTTCACCCGTGCCCATCGCAGCCATCTCTCTGCCCACTGCGAAACTCCTTTTCCCAGCGTTTGGCTTCCCTTACCTGTCGGTTTTGAAACCTCTCGATGCCTGTGAGGCAGGCTTCCTTGTTGACAAACATCCCTTCCCGGCTCTGGAGCTCTCGCTGGCAACAAGCCTCCGGTGTCGTACTTTCCAACGAGGAGTATGGAAGGTGGGGGACAGCTTCAAAATCTTCTGGTCCGTTCACCCCACAGCAGGCAAACTAGGGAGAGGCACGGAGAAGAAAGGGAAATAGAGTTGACACTTTTCCCTGAAAGCAGATACGAGAAATCTACCAAAGACCTATTCTTGTAAGGATTAAAGCCTTAGTCAAAGCAGAGACAAAACAACTGTTGTTTCCAAAGAAGGGGGTTGTGCTTGTACCTTGGAGCTTCTGTCTCATCAAAGCCTTTTTATAAAGTCCCACTGTTCCCATGTCATACTGTAGACTCCAAGGTACCACTGGGAATATTGCCACCAGCTACACAGGGCTTTGGAGCACATCCAGAATGACTTGCTTGAGATCACCCAGCAAGTCTGTAAGGGAGCCAGCAGTGCGGTCCAGGCTCCCGACTGCCCGTGCTCCCCACAGCTAACGGCCAGGATTGCTGCTGCCCAAAGGCACTGCTAGGTGATCCACGTGAAGTCCCTTTTTAGGATTCAAGTCAGGTTCTTTTTAAGGATTCAAGTCATACTTTGACTCTGTCTTCTTTCAGTCAGCAAAAGGAAATGTCTTTATTAAAGTCCTGAATCAGCACGAAGGGCAGCAATCATCTTTTTCTTTTAAGATTAAAATTGACTTTTCATCTGCAGAGCCTGACATCCTGCTCTTCACTTCTGAAGAGATACGCTGTGGGCTGTACTGAGCACCAAGTTCACATGTGTACACACACACACACGCACGCACGCATACAGAATTTCTTTTTGTAGATAATAACAACTCCAATTCCAATGACTGTCAATCTGTAACCTGCCTGATTAGGACTGTAATAACCAAGTCAATTTTGACGGCTAATATTTCTATACTGAAAATAATACCATTAGGCACGCTCCCACCTCATCTGCCACCTACCAGCTCATTTCACAAGCGCTAACAAAAAGCCACTAGCTAGCACCAGTTTTTGGCCACTGCTGGCCTGCAACAATTCTGAAGTAGGGTGAAAGGCCCAGGGTAAACGCAGGGATATTCAGCTGCAGACAGCTCCACGGCTTTCGGTGCCCACTGTTTGAAAGCTGGGGGTACCCAGAGAGGTCAAACACCCCTGGCTTTGGCAGAGGCAGAGGCTCTCTCAGGACCAACTTGAGAAAGACCGGCTGCCAGGTGAATTCTCATCTCCCTCCCACCACCGGCACGAACCCCAGCGCTGTGCTTGAGCACCGTGTGGAGCCATGGGACTGGCACGGCCTGACTTACTGTGATCATAACAGAGTTCCAGGTGGAAGAGAAGACGTCCGTGTCATTGTTCCGCAGGTAATGCTTCTTCAGCTCCTGGGTGAAAAACTCTCTGGTCAGCTGAAACGCACAGACGGGTGGAAATGTCAGGGCTACTGCCAACACCTTGCTCAAGATCTTCCCAAAGCTCCCTTCTGAGAATGCTGGGGGTTGTTCGGTTGTTTTGGGTTTGTTCTTTGTTTTGCAAAGCTCAGGGGAGAAACACGGGAAAAGCCACTGGCTGAACCCTAACTATATCCAGGGTGAGTGGTACCTGTTGAATAAAACTGTTGCTCATTAAAAATCAGGGATTGAATTATATCTATACTTGCCAGATAATGTTTACACCTAAGGGTTGGTTGTTTTTTTAATTTTTCAGCATAGTTTGAAAGCATTTCATAAGTTGAAACAGGACTAAAACAGATTTTAGAAAGATCTTCAAATTCGCACCCAAATAGTAGTTTAACTTGCTATGCTTCATGAGGTCTGCAACCAAAGCATGATTTTCCCCTCACTTTTCATTTTATACCAGTTAACTTCCTGCTAACGACAGGGGAACTGCTCTGAATTTACTTCCACGTGAGAGAAAGCAGAATGAAGCCCTAATATGAAACTTTCTGGGAATGAAAAGGAAGTAGAAAACATATAATGAATATGAAATGTTCAAGTCAGATTATGAATCAGGAAAAGAGACCATTTCCCTGACAGTGCTTTAGGTTATCTAAACTAATCCACACACATGGAGAAAAAAGTCCTCTTTAAATTTCCAGTGTTTAGATAATTTAACCATTTTTCCTAAAGTCAGCAATATAAACGAATGGAATCTCATTCACTCCTGTTTACATTTACAGTACAATAGAAAAACTGAACTAACGTTTTGGCTCAGAGTCTTCTCAAAAAGTTAGACACCTTGAAATTACATTTACTTAGTATCATTCTCTAGAGGACTAGTAAATAGACAAACTTAATAGTCTTGTTAAACTGAACACCCCGATTCAATCTCGTTGCATTTCTATCACTCCAGGATGAAAACTTCAAGGAATCCCCTTTTCAGGTTCCCAATAGGTCTTGACTTGTGTGGTCCTTTCTCCAAAATACCTTGTGTTTTGTGATCCATACAGGCAAAATGTTTCTGACACTGAAAAGCCTCAGTGAAGGAGGTTGGACTTGGCTGGGTACAGCACTGCGTTAGCATTGCATATTTGCAAGATCAGGAATTAAGTTGCCTGAAAAAGACTTTTTTTTTTTTTTTTTTTTTTTTTTTCTGTTATTCATACAGCACTGCAGATGCAGTAACATATACTGCTACAAGCTGGTTTCAGGTTCTTGATATGCAACGTGAAATATCACACATACACATACATATGTATGAGATGTATGGCTGAGCAAAAAAGCACAAGCACAAAATTATTTCTTTCCTTTGTAACTGTATCAGAAAATTTAAGGAAATAAAGAGAAGGCTGTGGTCACTCTTCAAAAGACCCCTGAATACCACTTAATACTGACTTCCCTTTTACAAATACAAACTAAGACCAAATTTATTGACTAAATCAATACTGTGTAAAACTTTGTCACAAAGACTTGAATGACGCAGGTAGCTCAATCTCACTACCTTTTAATTAGATATGCTGCTAAATTCCTAAATCACTTTTATGGGACAGATATTAACTCAGTTTTTGCTTTCGAATATCAAAATACCAGAGGACACGACATTCTCCTTCAGGAATTTCGTGCACTAGGGAAGGTCGGGTTAGAAAAATTCTGAAATATGTCCTCAGTGTTCTCCTTTCCTTCCCTTTCTCTGCGTACTCCATCCACACGGCATCCTACCCTGCAGAGACAGCAGCACATTTTTTTGATGCTCGCCTGTTTCTGAAGCGCAGACTTTGAAACTGATATTACCGTTGGTAATAATCCCAGCTGACTGCCTTTGGCGGGGTCTAAAACAAAAGAGTCATTTAAATATAAAGTGAAACCTTTATTTTGACAGCAGCAACCCCAGAGGAAATTGTTCAGAGTTTGTGTGCGATTTTTACGAGACTTGGCCTAAAACGAAGCCTAGTGCTGGAAGGGTAAGTTTGCCAGGAAAATAACTGATTCCATTTTGTTGCTCTTAGACTGTTTTTCTTGAGCATCTGCAGTTCAGAAAAATGTAAAGAAAAATTAAAAAAAAAAAAAAAATCGATCAGCACAAGAATCTTTCTTCTTTTAAAAAATTGCTGACAAAGGAGGATAAAAGTCAGTACGATGGTCCTACTCTCGTGCCCACGGCCCCCCTCCCACCGAAGCCACTAACGGCATTGATGAGGTCTGTGAGCATTGGAGTACTATGGCAAGAACTAGCCAGAAGGGAGCAAAGGACCTACTAATAAAACCAGCTCTTCGCACACACTTCTGACGACGCAATTACATCAGCCACAGTCATGAACAATAAAGAACCGTTCAGCTGTGTTTTTTTTTTTTCTAGCTGTTCTGAGGGGAACATCTCCAATACAGAAGAGGCACATGCATGCCTGCGTCTGCACGCCAGTGAATGAAGGGAGACTGTTTTGTCACGCTGGTTCAAAAAAAATAGCTTGGCTGGGATTACTGCAGCCAGATGAAGGGGATTTATGAAAAAGAGGGCATTTCTGCCCAACGCAAGTGTGCCGGCACTGGCCAGGGGGGTCGTGGCCTTCTCACACAGTGCTGTGATCAGGAATATGGGATGCTGTGCAAGAAGCTGGCTTCTTCACGGTGCCTGCTTGGAAAACAGGACGTGCTCCTATCCTGGAGCATCCAAACATTTCTGACACAGTGTCACCAGTGCTGCACTTCTCACTTCCACAGTGCCTTCCACCCAGGAGACCTCCAGCTGCTCAACGGAGGGAGGGACAGCTCGTGTTCTTTAGTTTTTGCCTTATGTCTGAGAAAACAGAGGTATCAGGAGCCAAAGCCACTTGTCTATTAAGTGTCAGAACTGGGGCTAAAAAGCATCCTGAGCATCCTGAGCCTGTCCGGGGCGCTGACACTGGACTCATCTGTTCCTACCATCCCGCTTCCTTGTTTGCTATAGACAATTCACTAAGAAGGGAAGTCAATATCCCTCCAGGGCTTTTCCTATCCAGACCTCCAAAGGGCATAAAAAGAGCAATTCCTGTAACAGAAGCCAAATTGTTCTTTCACAGCCTCTCTCTATTGTTCGTGGAAGACATTATTTTATGGGGCGTCTTCTAGATGAAAAAGGGTTCTCCACCCTCCGAAACCTCCTTTACAAAGGAAGAGAAACTCCGGTACTCCCCTAGCTGATTAACAACAGCCTTCCTCTTCAGAGACTGCTTTTAAACAGGTCTTTGGGAGTCCACTGGACTTGCAGTTCACACTAGCTCACAGTCGCGCACACCTCTCTCACTCACCCCACCACCACACGCTGCTTCACTGACTCTTCCTCTCACATCAAATCTCAGCAGAAAATATCTCTTTTCTCCCTTATCTTTGTCTCTTAATTTCTTTCACTCCCTCAGCTATTAATAATTTAACCCTGTTGAGTGTCTGGGAGCTAGTTTGGTTGTAAAACGCCATACGAGAGAAAGCTGTACTGAACATTATCTGGAAAGCAAACAAGTAGAGCGTATCTTTCTCTCTTGTCTCATTTTATGCAATGACCATCACAGGAACACACTTGGTTCCAAGAAATTGAGGTTGCCTAAATGTGCATTTATCACCACACGCCTCGAAAATAACTCGTTTCGCAGGGAAGAGAAAAGCACGTCTGAACCTGACCTTAAATTGCTTACTCTGAAAAATTCTTCCCGACATGGGGTCACTGAAAGACTACCTCTGTCCCCGCGGACATCCTGTCCAGCCATCTAGCCTCACCCTTATCCAAAGAGTACAGCAAAATTAGCCACAAGTAGCTACCAAGCCAGAAGAGCTACCACCAAAATATATAGCAACAGGAAAACAAGGTTTTGTTTTTTTTTTTTTTTTTCAGCAGAAACCTGAGGAGAGCACAAACGACAAGAATTTGCAGACTGAGTTTAACTTTTGCACAGAGCTATCTCCAGCTATGCTGGGACCTGACGTTCTTCATTCCTTCCCATTTAAGCCCTTCCTGTCAGTCATCCTGACAGAGCGGGAAGCTGGCAATACAAGCCACGAGACCAGCTCAAGAAGTTGGTCCCCCTTCAAGTTTTATCTCACAAAACACTGCCAGATGCCACAGATGTCTAGAATAACCACTGCAAATAATACCCCGCGAGTTAACATATCCTCACGTGTCCCACGGCTTCCGTGGGAGTGGAAGGTGCCGATGCTTTGCCCAGAAGCAAGACGTGAGCAGGCTCCTCTCACGCCCAAGGGAAGAGGACAGGGCTAGCCCGGCGGCCACCCGGGACTCGCAGAGAACCTGGCTGGGCTGTGGTACCTTTTCCCAGCTCCCCACTGGGAAGGTGGAAGGTAGGAGCGCCGGGGACCACGTTCTCCACCGTGAAGCTTGTACCTGGGTCTGCGGGGCAGTTTCTACGGGTGAGGTCTGCTGCTTGTGCTGAACCAAAGGAATTCGCAAAGAACTCCTAACAGCCGAGCTGCGATGACCAGAGCACACCAGACCCCCCATGCTGCAACCTATTTATGGAGAGGTTCCCATGGTCTCAAAGCCCCAGCTGGAATGCAACACCCACTCTGTGCACAAAGTCCCCACTGCCCTTAGATCTAAGGCAAAGACAAAAACCCAGCAGCTTATAAAGAGAAAAGGAAAAAAAAAAAAAAAAAATCCTCTCACTAACTCCCCCCAAGACCATCCTACTGCATAAACACCACACTGTCTTGCTGTGAGCTTCCTAAGTCTTGATTCTCTGCTTATCAAAATCTTTTTATACGAATAAAATTCAAAGTATATCCTGGCTCAGGAAAATCATCATTATACATGGCTGTTCTACACTCATGCCACATTTCTGCCACATTCAGTATATGCTGTATATTCTTTTACTACAGGCAGAGGCCAAATAAACAAAATAGATACTAACAGTCACTAGTGACCACCTCTACTGGACAATGATTTTTTCACAGCCATCACTCAGAGTCATATTTCACAAATGGGATGATGCTACCATTTCAAAAATGGGCTGACCTAGTTCAGTCAGGCTCTTATTTGCACATTTGGGAACATGAAAAAAATGCACAAACCTTTGGTGGTTAGAAAAACGAAGGAGATTTTGCTTACTACTAGCATAGGGGAGGGATGATGGCCATATAATATGCACAACAGCAGAGTAGAGAAAGGCTACATCTTATGAAGCTGTGGAGAGAAGGACCAGAAACTTGTAGGCAGGGCAATATGCAAAGGATCCATTGATGGGACTCAAAATGGGACATGGGGGGACCTGCTCAGGGCAGGTCAGGAGGGATGTCTTACAAGCAGCATTGAGAAGAATCTGGTGAGCACCAGAACATGAAAATTCAAGAAGGAATATGATTAGAAGTTGCACAAGAGCATTTTTGCACTGCAGAGCAAGCATTGGCTCTGTTGGGAAAACAGGAGGTTTCACTATTAATATTAAACACATGTTATATTGAAAAAAGAAAATAGTTGCTTTTAACCTTAGTGTGACTTTATTGTAAAACTTCTCTCTGATGGAACGTGCAGCTAGTTTGGCTGCAAAAGAACCAGGAAGTCTCTAAAAACTTCAGGATTTAAGTAGTCCCCCAGTGTATACATAAGCCATCCAGACTGCACAAACCAGGTTAGTTCACATTCACTGGCTTGCTGGCACTTCTGCAGAGGGAGGGAGGTAACGAAGCAGGTTTGTTGGTATTTGAAACAAACAGTCACTCTACAAATGAATCAGCCACCATCTAACACCATGATCCAGCTGGGTACAATCCCACTGGGATTCAGAGTTCGTCCACCATTGGATACTTACATTTTCTCTGAAGATAAAAGCCAGGATTGCAGCTGAAAGCTCCGCCAGGAAGATTAACAAAATAAACATGAAGAACTGGAAGAGAGAAGATGCAAAAAAAAACAAAAACAAACAAAAAACCAAAAACAAACACAGACATACCATTAGGTGCATGCAATAGGAAATTTGCTAGTCACCAATAGATGGAAAAAGTAACTGAGAAAACTTTTTTTTTCCCTGACAATTAAAAAAACCCTCGGAGGCAGTAACCCGGAGCAGACACAGTCCCTCTCTGACCATGTCACAGGACATGGGAGCTTGAAATGCTTTTTCCTGGTTCTAATGGGTAAAAGGGAATAAGGCTACAGGACCCATAGCATCCCCAGATAAAGCTGTACCAGGTTAAACCAGTAAAGCCTGCTTTGATGGAAAAAGTTATATGATTGTGTAGATGTTCGTAGAGGGTTAAACTGTCCTGACACAGGTGTATGCACCACATGCATACACCTACATATGAACACACACCCCTCATCACAACATAAACAATTTTACTCTAACACAATCATGGTTCATTTTGTATGGAAGGAGGTAGTGGGACAGACTCAAATATTTACACTTAAGACCAAAAATGGACTCTTTTCAGCCTATTCTGCATTTCAGTACAAGTTAGCCTCGGTTAATATATCCCTCCACACAATGGGGTTGCACTGAGTTAAGCATTAACCATGCAGAAAGTTGATAGCACACCATCATAACTTTAATTTTATTTTGCAAGTATCATCCATGTCCTGTGTAGTATCCAAAGTGTGCATATCCATACCCTTAAACTAAGGGCACACTGTAGACTTAAGACAATAGCCAGCAGGTTGAGTTGTAGCAAAAGAGAAACAGGCATCCAGTTTGAAGTAAACCCATTACACTTATATCATCGTAATTCTAGGGAAGAGGAATGAAAGCAAACAGAGAGGCACGTGGTTGTTTGGCTTAAGCTGGAACTGTATTTTCATCCGGCTGCCCTTGCAACCTTCTGCTGCTTCAGTCTAAAAGTCTGGTCTTCGGTCTTTCTGATGGCATCTTGTTTCGGTGGTGTCACCACGCCGGCACGACTCACCCTGCCTTCACCACCGCCCCTCCCCGAAGTAAATCAGATGCACTTAAGAGGTCTCATCCCCAAGAGAGAGTGATGTCTTGCTGCGAGGGTGCTGTCCCCGGGACCTTGCCTACCCAGGGCGCTCAGGTACCGCGGAGCATCTCCTGCCTCCTGCTGCAGGCTCCCACCTCAGCCCCTCCTGCCCACGGGTGGCACAGAAAACTGGTACACAGCTAGAGGTAAAGCTCAAGTAGAGAGGAAAAGAGTGTTGAAGGGAACAAAAGTCCCGGGGCAGGAAGGCACTCACTCACATCAAAGAGCTCAGGACTCAGCCTGCCTTTGGGACCGACTCTCAGTTACATTGGTGCCTCATGCTAGTTTGATGCTGCTTTGGTCTGTAACAATAAAAGGAACAGGCAGGGATGTGCCCTCTAACAGCCTTAAAACTACAAATGGTGGCGCTGAGGAACAACTATGGGAACAGAGCAGAAAGTGGCTAGGCTCACACCCCCTCCCAAAATGGCATTGATTGCCGCTCTTGGAGACAAAATAATGGGCTTGAGAAACTGTAAGTCTGAACTAGATGGACATTTTTTATGATCTTATAGCCATGAAGAGAAATCACCATTTAAGAGTCAGCCCTTCTAAAATTCAAGGATCCCAAGAATTAGCCCACAAACTCGAAGATGGTTTTGCAAAACTGAGTGAAAGTTTAGAAATGAACTCAGATTTTGCTGCCACGCAAGAAAAGCAGGAATGAACAGAGAACCCAGTAAGACCACATCACATGGAGGGTGATAAACATGTGGTACCTGTTACCCACAAAGGTGGTTGAAGCAAGAAGTAGAAATAAACACAAGAGAAGCCTGGATGACTTTTGTGCGAGAAAGTTATTGAAGGTCTTTCTGAAGCAGAAGGCAGGAAGATGGGGCCAGAAGTACTCTTGTGATCCCCAAGCAATGATTTATAAAGTGTCTGAAATGCTATGCACCGTGCATTTCGGTAACGGAGAGAGAATTCAAACTACCTGCTTGGAATGGGCAAAGTGTTGTTTTGTTGTCAATTATCAGAGCTGTAAGTGATTTTTCCCCACCAGAAAAGTGCACGCACCATCCTGTCCCATTTATCTTCCTGCTTCTGCAGTGGAAACAAAAGAAAAGGAGCCTGGGATCAAAAGACAAAACAAGAAGAGTCAGATGAGCAGGGACTTCGGTTGCTAACAGAATGCTGTTGCTTGATTTTGCTGAACTAGTTAACTCTATAATTTATTCTTACTGCTGAAGTTTTCTCTGTGGCTCCTATTTTTTCTGCCCAGAGACTGTTTTAATTTCACCACAGGAGGGCAAAGAACAAGTGATGAGAATGAACGATGCTTTGCAAATTCACATCATCATCCATCAAGGGATCTCAGCATAGTCACTAAGAGGTCTAAGGTGGTGATCAAGTGATTAATCCCATCACCCTGCTAATTGCATTTCATTTACTGATTACTGGGAGACACACATTCACCCAAGCTCCAGCACAGGTCTCTGCAGAAGTGGAAGCAGCCATTCCCAGATTATCTCTGATAAGCTTCATTATCATCCCCAAACTGATTTGCACTTACATTGTGCAGCGTGCATTACAGATTTGTAACAGTTACTGTAGAAAAAACACGAGCACCCATTAGGGCTGATGAGAAAAAGAAGATGGATCATCAGTGTTTCAGAACTTGTTCTCATTTTGCATTTCAAGGAGAGTCAAAATCTGCTCATTATGTTTTGCCTCCCAAATTAAATTGATTACTGATATACAAGAGCACTAAACAGCCAACTGGTTAATGCGTAGGGGACAGCAGCCTTGCATTTAAATCCATGCTTGAGACCCAACACTTGAAGCTGGGCACCCCCCACACCCAAGGTGAGCAAGGTGAAGGAGTGCGGTCCTGCATGGTGGTCAAAAATCCTGCCTCAGCTCCTGGTGAGGGTTACAGGTTTATCGGAAGTTTCCACAGATCAGTCGTTCATGTTTCTGTTTCACAGCTCTCATCTGCTGTACAAGTTTCAGCAGTGCTCTTCCAAAAAGAGCAGCAACTGCCTTTAACCCAAAGGACCCACATTTTCACACTGGAAAGTTTCAGGGGCTACTGCATCCATTTCCCAAGAGTGCAAAATAGGACGTCTGAACTCAAAAGTAAACCAGCTAACACGGACTGTCCTTGTTGCAAAGCTGAATTCAGTCCCGCAGTGCAATCTTGTATGCTCAAAAGCACTTTGGATTCTGATTTTTATGGTGTTCTTCTGCAGTCAGAGGGTCGTCAGGACAATCCAGAAGTTATTCAGTGTCTGATTTGCAAGGCTGATGTTTGTTGGTTTTTGTGAGCCAAGTCCAAACGCTGGGAAATCTAGAAACACCTCACAGCCTTGCGCATAATGCAACATGTTAAGTTCCACAGTGATGTTTTTCTATCAAAAGACAAGCAGCTTAATGAAAAATAAAAGTCCTAGCAAACACAGAAGCCAGAATCTAGAGAACATGCATTTGTGCATCTGTCTTGTCCCTTCTATCTTCTATTTACATTTGGACTAAAAGCTTCAGATATACATTATGCATCACTGAAATCTCACTCAAGCAGCTCCCTGGCTCATCAATTCTTTAACTTTGTAGGTAGACTTGATTTGATCTAGCAGCTTCTCCCCAAGTACCAACCCCGTGAAGCCTAACACTGTTTTACAAGGTGTTCCCAGTCTCTCTGGCATACGTTCATGAAAGGTTTGTCTTTTCAATGCCTAAAACTTACTCCCATCAGATTTCTATTTTTACAGATGTTTTATGCATTTTAACATCAGCTGGTGCAGCCCCCCAGAAAGCAGAAATTAGCAACGTATCTCTTCTCACTTGGTATCAGCATAGATCCTCGTCCAAGTGCTTCACTGATGTTGGACATGGGATGGTAGGTTGTTTAACAGAGCTTGTTACCAGAAGCCCTGGAAGACCTGATCAAAGTGGAACACTGATTCCTCATCCAGTAATTACTGTTAGAGTTTCTCCTAGTCCAGGGCATTACTTGCAGCCCATGTATTTCTCACATTCCAAGTTTAAAATAAAATAGTAATAAAAGTAAATAAATAAAGCAGAAGGGCTCAGAACTATCTCTACGAGTCAGAAAAGCAAACCCACAAATCTGAGTGCACTGGAGTATAACTAAAACACCAGGACCATTCAAACTGTGATGTAATTCTGTGACGTTAAATCGGGAAAGAGCATGGCCCAGTGTGCCCTTCCTCCAGCCAGGACCCCAATCTGTATGCAGCAGACAGGGTCCAAACTGAAAATATTACCCTCCTATACACTTACAATCAGTATTTCTCATCAAACATGATGTTTAGTTTCTTAATCTGACAGGGAGAGGCTTTGAAGTAACCTCAGGCTCATTGAGCCTGATCCTTTGCATTCTACTAGCTCTCTCTGGGCAGATCTCCATGATTTCACAGGTGATACATTTGGTTTTCTGATTTAATTCTGAGATGAGTCACTAGAAATCAAATCCACAGTGGCTTCTGGAAAAGGGGTTTCATTTGCAGAATATGAATTTAAGAGGTAGGTGAGTCAAGGGCCCGAGAGAATTTATCTCAGTGAAGCCACACTCATCTCTAGGAAGAAATGGTTTTACATTCAAGAAAGAGGAGTTTTCTGTTCTGTTTAAAGTTAGAGACAAGCCTCTTTTGCTCCATGAAGCAGCTGTGCAAGGTACAATCATAACAAAACACTGTAAGATCAAGATTTAAAAAAGAACCCCAACCTCCCCCCCCACACAAAAAAAAAAAAAAACAAACAAAAAACAAACAAACCCCCCAAAGCCCCAACAGACCCAGAGAGAGAAACAAAGGGTCATGTTTGACAAAAATAAAAAATAAAACTAATGATCTTTCTCTTTCAATACATAACTGGTAATGCCTTCCAGTCAGAGGTGATGGCTGGCAACCCTGCAGTATCAGAACTTATGGCAGAGGTCAGAAGTGACTTATTTTAGAGGCTAGCTCATTGTAAATAGTACTTAATGACACAGGCTAAAAATGTGACCCTATCATTCAGGGGAAAATTTGCCCCAAGATGACAAATCTGGTTCATTTTAGGAGCAGAGTAGGCTGCGTAAGGGAGTGACAAGCTGTTGAGAGCTGCAGTGATAGGCCACCGTGCAGTTCTGAGCTGGGGATTTCTGCTGACATGGGGAGCTCTGTTCCACAGATGCTTTGCTGTATGTATTCCCTCTGCTTTGTTGTGAACCACTGAGGAATCAATACACAAGTGGAGCAGTGGATTTCGGGTGGCCGAGAGAGGACCATTTTTGGTCACTTTTATAAAAGTAAAAAAACCAAAACCAAACAACGAAATAGGATCATTTTGAAACAGAGCTTAACAAGGTCAAAATACACCCTCAGACTGCATACCCACTGGGCTCAAATCTGGTACAGTGAAAAGCAAATTCTCTGTATTTCTAGCTGTGTGTAAAATTACCCTAAGCCCATTTAATATCTGAGGGAATAACGGCTACAATAACAGACACCCATTCATGCAGTTACCACCCCATTGTCTATCCAGTCACCCCCATTCTTGGGAAGCACCAAAGGCCCACCAGAAGAAGCAAGGACACTTACAAAAAGCAGGAGGCATTTGTTCTCACGGATGGCACCGCAGCAGCCGAGGAAACCCAGCAGAAAGAGCATCGCGCCCATAGCCAGCATGATGTACGCTCCCGTGAAGAGCAGAGGGTTGGCAGCCACTATCTCTCGGAAACCTGTGGGATCCACAATGACCCAGATCCCAACTCCCAGCAGGCACGCTCCTCCCAGCTGTCAGGGCACAAGGAGAGGAGAGGGAGGGAGGGAGGTCAACATAAACCAACTGGATTCATTGCTCTCTTTTGATAAAAGGTGCTCACTTGGAGAATTTGTGTTTCCCTGGCACATATTGTCTGCTAAGGAGGTGACTGCTGACATGCTACTCTTAGTATTTCTTGCTCACTAAATGAACAATTTGCAGTGAAAGCACCTTTCTTTCTTGACACATCACTCTACCAACTGTTTACTCCCTGTTTAGTGCTGAAAGACCAAGTCTCGAGCAGCTGCCACATCTGTAAGGGACAGCCTGGTGAAGGGGCACACTGCACCGTCCCTGCCAGAGACCAGGGTGGCTGGATGTTCCCACCCCTCCTGTCAAAGACAGAAGCACCAAGGTCACCGAGAATGAGTCTACATGTCGTAGGAAAATAACTTCATTCCCTAGTGATAACCTCAGCAGGACACCCAGGGCTAGAAAACAACTACTTCTGCCATGCAAGGACAGACTAAGTACACCACTAGTTACAGCTTTCCTTCTGGTCTCCCTTGCCAAGGACAGGAATAAATCAGACAACAGTGACCACTGCGGTGGCTTGCTGAATGTCTGAGCATCTTTGGATGCTGCAAACCTCTCAGTGATTGCTTCTGCAAAGCTGAGGGGATATTCTGTACCATGGCAACTTTACCAAATCACAGCTTATCCTGCTGGGGAGCAGCAGCAGCCTGCTGGAAACAGGAGGATTCAGGGAGAAAGTGGCTTCTAAATACTTACAAATATAAAAAAGTTGAAAAGAAACATCAGGTACTTCATGCAGCTCAGACAGTCTCCTTCCATGGTCTTCAGGCTCCTTGATCCAATTCTTCCTGCAAAACACCAGCACTATCTTAGCACACTCATTTTTTATTGGAGCGACACAATCCTATCTCCATTTGTATTTCCCCCAAGATCCTGTAAAGTTCATTACACAGAAGAGCTAATTTCTTACCTGAACAAGGCAACATAGCACAGGCTAGTAAGAGATAATGATCTCTGCTAAGTCCCTGTAGTCCCTCTGTGACCATGGGAACCGCTCTGCTTTAGCCAAAGAGCTGAGAAAACCCACCGCAGGCAGAGCTCCCATCAAGGGGCTGCCTGAGGTAAGAGCCAGATCTTTATCACACAGCGAGTGTTTGCTGCACTTCTTTGACTTGGTTGAAAAATCAGATCAGTTCCTTCCTAGTGGCAAAACAGGCAGGGACACAAATGGTGTGACACAGACGCTCACGTGGACACGCAGCCGCTTTCCCTCTGCACCTTCACGTAGCTGAGGCAGGACAGCAGAGTGTCTCTGCTGTCTGGGTACTGCCCAGGGAATCCCCTTCGCTAGAGGAATCCTGAGAAGATCCACAAAGCCAGTCTTCAAGTCCACCTCGCTTCTGGAGAAACACAGACCTGAATCTGAACCTGAGAACGAGGGCAGTATTTTTCTTTGCAAAGTTAATTTTCTTATACCTCTGATACACAACTGTTCTGGCCAGAGAGACCCAAAGCTGAGACCACGACTGCAGGAGATGAAGTGGGGCACAGAACTCTGACATGGGCCTGGAGGAGATGCCCACAGCTTCCTGATGGTGTTTAAAGCCATGTCTGCAAATCTCACAGAGGAAGGAGATCTTGAGGTCCAGAAGGGTAAGGAGCTGGGGAGGGAATTCTTCAGTTTTGTGGGAAAGGTGAACCTTCAGCTCCACTAACCCATGAGCTTGAGCACTATAGTAGAGATGGATATGAAAATACAGACAAATCGATAGAATACCAGAACTTCAAGAGCCCCATCATTAGTGGCACCTGGATGTTCCCATCAGCACACAAAAAAGTTATGTTCCACTGAAACAAAGGATGGCTTAATCCCAGTACATTAGCCAAAGTCTGAGAGTTATCTGAAAGAATTCTGCTGCCTTGAGCACCCACTCACATGATCCATACCATAGTAGTCTTAGGCAAAAAAAGGAATAAAAAGCAAACCAGTTTAGTCCTAATGTGCCACTTCACATCATTCACACTCATCCCTCTGCAGAGGCATCCACAGGAAAAACGTTTCCTGTTGTCCAAGAAGCAGCAGCTCCCCAGCCTAACGCTGTCTTGCTGCTCTGCAGACTTGATAAGCCACATTCCCGCCTTTCTTTACTTTCCATCTCTCCGTCTGCTTCCTCTGCAAGAAGAGCACGCTCCCTTGGAATCACTCTTGATTTACATGAGCTGAGTACAGGCCTCCTTTTCTTTTCAAAGACAAACCTAAGCTACAATTCCTTGCATTGTTCCTGCCTGTGCATCTTCTCAGTATGTCAAAACCTAGGCGTAAGCAGGGAAGGGAGACTCTAGTTCTGTTGAGCAATCGGGTCCTGAAAACTTCACTGGTGGGGCCACACAGTCACCTGGGAGCAGCAGGAACACACGCACACTCAGCTTTGACAAATGAGGCCTCCCTTGTTTGCCTGGGCAAGAAATTGTCCCCAGTGGTGGTGCTGGGCTCAGACCTGTAATTTCGAAACCCACCACGCTTCACACAGCGAAGCAACAACTACGTGCAACCCTACTAATTGTGCTGTGCTCCAAGCCAGGAACACACCCAGTGGGGCTTACAAATCCCAAAATCCTTCAACTCAGGATGTGCAAATGGAAGTCAGTGGCAGCAGGGCTGGCAAAGCCAAGGACAGAGCATGTCAGAGCCTCCACATCATCAGAGCTCAGTGCAAACAAACTTCCAGAAAATGCCGACCCACTGATCTGACCTGAGAAACAGGAGCTATGAGCAACTGTTTCAGTGCTGGAACTTCCAGCTTGGAGAGACCCGCATTTAGCAGCTTAACACACCCCCTCCAGTTTCTGCTGTGTTTTCTGCAGATTCCCAAACAGCACATGCAGGATCACCATTTGGATCCTGTCATCGCACTGATTAAAACAGGGTCAATCAACCAAAAGCATGATCTGACCTCTCAGATAGCACTTAGAACTGTTCCATGTCAGAGCTCAAGCACTCCAGCATACGTGAAATGTATTATCATCTAATTCACTTCGCAGTAGTGCTCTAGACTTTGAAGAGTATATAACTAATGCTATTTACAAACAATACAAGGAAAAGGCAAATAATGTTACTTACAAATAATGTAATTATGAAAATATTTGTGCCAACTACTGACTTACTAATTAGCTGAAGGTACATGAAGTCCCTGATAGCAGGCTGTATGGGGAAAATGACTGACATGAAAAGACAATCCTGTCCCACAGAGCTGTTTTTTCCTTCCGCTTTTCCTTTTAAGTCATACACACAAAAGGCAAATTTTGTGTTACTCCTACTACACACTGATGCAAGTCCGATAAAAAGTGAACGCATATGTCTTAATCTACCTTTTAAAATATCTTCTCTCCCCTCCTCCAGGCCCCAAATTTGTGACAGATTAAGTTCTCCTCTGCAGGAGACATTTAACGCTAAGCAAACGCTAACAGTCAGAACTGCAGAGACAGCGGCTGACAGATGCTTTCCCTGGCTTGTCCCATCTCAGAGCCATGAGACATATGAGATGCATTTGTTTTTCTCTGAAATGTAGCTATAAATGTTCAGCTTCTTCTTAGGCAGCTTATTCTACATTTCTCCCCCACCCTAATATGAATTTTATCTTTCAAGGTGATGGGGAGGCTAAAAATCCACAGCAGTGTAGCCAGGAAACATACCCCAGCTGTTGCACTCAGTTAGGAATAAAGTCTAGTTTTTCAAGGCAATGCATGTTTTTTTGCTCTCCAGCCACCATTTATTTTCTTCGTTCTGACATTTGCTTTTGCACGCCTTGCAGCTACCCTTGAACTTCACATATCTAAAGGCAGCAGCTCAACCACACCCCCAAAAACTGCTTCCAAGTTTCTCTTTGCTACCACTGACATTTCCCTCTACCCCCATAGCGCTTTCACATTGGATTGAAACCCGTGGTTTCACTTCGATTGCCCTTCTAGCCTTGCCTTGGAGATGGAACCACTGAGAAACTTAGGTTCAACAGGACCTCTGGATGTCATTGAGTACAAACACTCACTGCCTCCAACCTGGGCCAGTTCCAAAGTTTCATCCAACTTCAAAGTTTGACCCTGAGCAAACTGCTCCCATTAGTTAAGTTTTGAGTATCTCCAGGGACTGAGATTCCCTAGGCTCCCTGGGCACCTCTTCCAGTGTTTGACCACCCTCCTTGTGAAAAGGTTTTTCAAAACAGCTGTCCAAGGTCTGCACAAGCTACCTCGTGGCGAAAGGAAGAAAACCATCCTGCGGATGTGCCAGTCTGTCAGAACTCTAAGGAGCACCTTATCTTCACCAGTCACAATCCTTGCATCTTCCATATCATACCACTCCTACCCTCTACTGAAAACGAGTGAATCATTTTCCTTGCCTACCATTCCAACCACGTAATCCTCTCCCCTAACATACTTCTGCAGACTATTCGTATTTAGCTACAGAAAATTCAGACATTGTGCACTTGCCTGATGGCTCATCACAGTTTCCCCATCTCGAATACCTGATAGAAATCACAGAATAACCAAGATTGGAAGAGTCGTCTTGAGGTCACCTTGTCCAACCCTCATGCAAACCACTTTTTCAGTCACTTCTCCTCTATCACATCGTCCATGTATATCTTCTTTCCACATAAATGCGTCTTCACGGTCAATGTGCATGAAGACCTTGTCCACTGAACTGATCTGTTGCTTCCTTTAAAACGTAAGAACCAGTTCTGCAGTACTTCCTGCAAAATAATCGCCAACGGCTTGAGGAGCAAACGGTGCTAACTCACACCTACTTTCACATTCAATGCCCAAGGGAACCATGTAAAAGCAGAAGACATGTTTGAAGCTCTCCAGAACCACTGCCGGACAGCCTATAAAGGAGTTAGAAAATGGGGACCAGATTCTCTTCCAAGTCAATGCACCAATTTCTCGAGGCTGTCCCAGCTGGGATGTCCCTAGAAATGTCCCTGAAGCTCTAAGGTGCACCAGTGGTGAAGGACCACCACAACCTGGGATCGCTCCATTGCGTCTTCTCCCCAGCAACACGGCAGCCCACCCTTTGGCACGTAGGTACGGAGACTTGGCTCAGCATGCTTGCCTTCCTCCATGGAGTACCCACCTCCCAAGGGGAGTTCTGTGTTCACTATCTGCAAGCAGTATCCAACTCCTTTGAACCAAAGTGGTAGGGTCTGCTAAGAGAACATATCTAACAGGTGGCGCCTTCCAGAAAACCCTCTCAAGACTATTATTTCCACACAGTTTTCTCCTCTAGATAGAATAGAGATAGGGCAGTTTAATTAGGAGACCAAAGATGACTTGCTGCAGTACACCTTGCAGGTGTCATGATGGCAGATGAGCTGTGTATTTCTTAACCACCTCCCGCACACCATAGCTACACCTAACCAACCTTGACAGAGATACAGAGAAAGCATCTGGCATGCAGAAAGAAAGAACCATAAACAAGACTCACCTTCACAAATCTTGGGACTTGAAGAACAACGTCTATTCTAGTCTTTAATTGTCTGTGTGTCCCATGTATCTCTCTCTAGCCAAGCTTGTCCTGTAAGAGAAAAAGATGCAATTACTGCAGAAGTCAATAAAATGCAATCATGATAAATACACAATTTATTAAAACACACCATCCTGATGAATATGCTCAGTCTAATTGCCACCTTAATTTACTGTACATTAGCACTAATGAAGAGCTTTTAATACCCAGTGAGGGATCCACTTCCTCAGAATCTCTTTTAACAACCTTTGGGGTGTTTTAAATGCCCACAGACCACATGTAAATCTATAGTCCCATTACACGTGCACCTCATACCACAACAGGACTAGATTAATACCAGCTGCACCTTCAATATTTTATAGGAGGTTTAGACAAACTTCAATCTGCTGTGACTTTACAGCCCATTTACCAGGAAAATGGAAAAGGCAGAGAAAGGGAGATGGAATGCATCTTTAGGAAGCCCAGCCCAGCCATCAGGAGCAACAGCCCGAGACGCTGGGCACTGTCCCTCGTTCTTCCAGCCAGCTCTCATGCCAAGTTGAGCAAACTCCTTCCTCTCCCCCTGCCTCACTGCCACTGCCTGGGAAGCAGCAGCAGAGAGGAACGGCGAAGCTGCCGCACTGCCCGCCCCAAGGCATTGGATAAACCGGAGCAGGAAGAGACACCTGGGTGCAGAGACCACCACTGCCCTTGAGCTTACAGTTACGATTTTCTCCTTAAATTTGAATTTCTGCCTGCGCAATGCTGATGACAGTCTTTGGCTAGGCAAAGGTGAGGTGAGACCAGCATGCAAAGCACGCTTGTTTGACTGTTGTTTTCTCAGGGCACCCTCTCCCAGGCTGCTTTTTCCACCCATCCGACACAGCTCCAACACTGCACTGTGGGACCTGTGGGGAAGGGGCAGCCTTTACTATTCAAACAGCACCCCATGCCATAAGGGTCCAATATTCAATATCAGGTTGCTCAGCCCTGTCACTCATTCACTCACTCACTCATCCTTCACAAATCCTTTTGGAATACTCACACCTTTGCTGAAGCCACTGCTTCCCTCTGAGGGATCAGAGAAGTCACCTGGGTCTATCACTGCTTTCTCACTGCCAGCATTTCATTATGATTTCTTGAGGGGGGTGCATTTCACATCTGTTTCCCACAAACATTTGTGAATGAGCCTTATGAAAATTGCCTGCCCTTAAGACTTCTGTGAGTAAGACTCTATCATTTGTTGTTGGCAGGAAGCAAACAAAGAGTTTCAAGGTGGCTGAAACTATTACAATATAGAACATATCATGAATATTCATAGACTTTTTGTTTTGCATTAACCCCTCACGTTTCATGTCCTTCCTCTGTCACTGTGGACCTACATCTCTGAATGATGAGCAGGGATGGATTCCCTTCTGAAATCTGGAGGGTACAAACATCTCTAGCCAATCGACCCATCTCTGCTGCGGCGTATCGAAGGCACCTGCCGACCGACGGTGGACTTGCCCCACTTTACAACGCTGTGTATGAAGGATGCCGTGGATCAGTACAGCTTTCCCACCAGTGTGGAAGTTCAGAGGGTGATACGTGACCCACTGGGAGACGGCTGCATCAGGCTCAGGGACCTCTGGAGAAGGGCTTGGGGAGTCTACAGCTAGGACAGGAGACACTGTCACTGCCCCACAGTAGAGACACCCTTTCTGGCAGGCAGAGCCCGGTGCCCACCTTTACCTTTTTATCATCTTTTGGGGGGTGGGGGACAGCACACACATTTCATCCTGTGTTTTGCATGTGCCACTGAGAGGCAATTTCTTCGGTTTTCCCATCCTGTGATGCCACTATCCTGGGGTAGCTGCCGCCAGGAGAAGATGGCTCTAACTCTAAAGCAGATGTGACACTGTGCTATATAAACCTATCATTAGGAAAATAATCAGAATGATGGGATTCCTGATCCCACTGCGTGTGCATATAATTACATCTCTGCAAGCCCTCAAAGGTCTGCGTGGGAGAATTTTATTTTTTTATTCCTTTTAAGTCACAATATTTTAAAGAAATTACAGCACCGCAGAGAGGGAGAGCTTAAATGCTTCAATGGGTACCAGCAGGTGCTGTGTCAGAAGGGATGAAAGAGTGTGTTTGGTGCCAAACAATAGCAATACTCCATCTTACTCTATGGCCCTAAAGGGGAGGAAGCCCCTTCCAAACAGGCTCTCTTTGGTTAATAGCTACGATGCCGTCATTAGGGGGAACTGCAGAAAGTACAAAACCACTGTGCCTAATTGTGAGCGGCGCAAGCTGACGCCTTTCACTGCAGTCGCTGGGGAAACGCGGGGGAAGCTGGGGCGCGGGCCGAGGCCTAGCATCCTTCTGACGCTGAGCGGCAGCGCCTGGCGCCTTCTCCTGCCTCCCCCCCTCGCCCCGCGGCCCCTCAGGCCTCCGCGCTGAGCACCGGCTGCTCCTCGCCCTCGCCGCTCTTCGGGCGGCTCTGCACGAGGAGCGGGCTCCGATGAGGGAAAAGGCGGCCAAACTCACGGCCCCCACGCCGAGACGGTTGGAGAGCCAGAGCAGAGAGGGAGGGGGGGCGGGCGAAAAGAGGCTGAGGTAGTCAACAGGTAGCAAGTGCGGCAAGAAATGAGCGGAGGGTGCAAGACGGAGAAGCAAGGCCTGTCTTCGGGAGAAATCCAGTCTCCTGCACATTCAGCACTGCAAGAAGGCCACTGTTGTGGTTTGGGCCTGATCGGCAACCAACCACGGCAGCTAATCACCCTCCCTTCCCCCTCCCCACCTGGGAATGGGGGAGGGAATTAGAGGGGTGAAGGGAGACTCGCAGGCTGAGATAAGAACAGTTTAATAATGGCAATAAAATGAGAACAATAACGATGATGGGGGAAAACAAAAAGAGATCTATAAACAGGCGATGTACAGTGTAATTGCTCACCACCCGCTAACCAATATCCAGCCCGTTCACGGCCAGCGACCCAGAGATACCAAGATCCCACAATCGCAATCCTGGAAGCGAGAGAGCCCCTTCCCAACCACCCCTCCTCTATATAGTGAGCATGACGTTCCATGATATGGAATATTTCACTGGCCAATTTGGGTCCGGTGCTCTGTCCGTGCTCCCTCCCTGCTCCCTGTGCCCTTGCGCACGGGCAGGCCATGGGGAGTCGGAGAGTCCTTGAAGTCTCGGTAGCAGCTGAAAACACCAGTGTGCTATCAGCATTCTTCCCATACCAAACCCAAAGCTAAATCCAAAACACAGCACTCATCTAGTCCCTGAAAAGGAATATTAACTCTATTTCAGCCCAAACCAAGACACCACCAGATAAATGGCTCCCAGGTGTCCCGCTTCACAAGTACCTCTAGCTGCTGCCAGTCCCCTTCGCTCACCACATTCGTGGGATCTAGACAAACCGAAACACAAGCCAGCCCGTATATTCAGCCAAAAGGAGAAGCTGAAGACGGAAGTCATGTCCCGGTGGATCTCTGCAACAGGTCAGTGCTTTTGTGGTGAAGGGTGAGGAGAAACATCTCCGTGGAAGCAGGATCAGATTAACATCATTCCCTTGCAGGGGCTTCAGAAAAAAATTGCTGCTCCTGAACTGGAGGTTGGCAGAAGCTGTCAGCCCCGTGCATTTTCCTGTAACTATGGCTCCTACATAAATAACTAATTGCGCTGGAATTTCACAGTGCTTGCATAGCAGCGTCATTGCTGTGGCACAAACACATTACTGCATGTAAATCCAATTAGATCCCAAAGTGCACTGGATAACTATAATCGGCCCCTGTAGAGCAGCGAGGAGGGGACCTGCACAAGGCCATGCAACTAGATACTAAATTACAGTCAATCTACCTCCTCTTTAGTTGCATTAAAATGCTAATGCCACTGTAATACTGGCCCATTTACCAGCAATGACTGCCTTGCCTTGCAACACTGGAGTGAATGAGGTTGTTGCACTGCCTGAGAGCATTTAATTCCTCCGTACAGTTGAGCGAGCAAAACCCTTAGGGGCATCTTATACCTTAAAACAATAACCTGATTGGCTTTTATAACACTAAAATCATATGAGGCTCGGGATGGTGTTTAAATGAATCTGAGCTGCTGCTACTAAAACTACCCTAATTTTCCGACCCAAGCAGAGTGTTCGGGAGAACTGGGCCAGATCCCTTCCTGACTCTTGTCTGTCTGCTTTTAGGGAAGACACATTTCTGCCACCAAAGGGCTGTGCATGAGAGCACATCAGTCACACACAGGAAGAAAAAGAGTTCTGGGCTGAACCTCTTAAAGCTTCACATAACACCAACTTTGCAACAAAACCAATAATACAACACTTGCCATCTATGTTTTATATCTGCAACTTTGCACAAAGTATGCATGGAATACGTGAGATCACATGGAGGTAAAATCTCCCACACATACACAGACATTCAAAATGGAAATTCAGAAGTCCCAGAGCAGAACCTATTCTCCCAGATGTTGTAACGTCTGGACAAGCGCTAGGGTACGTGTTCGAAGTGCCAGGATAGCATCGGGCCACAAACCACTCCATTTCAGCTAGTGCAAATGTGCATACAGCGCTGCTCGAAACATGAGCTGCTCGCTTTGGCACCTTCCCAAGCGGAGTTCAATAGGTAATCATGTCTGGCTCTTTCATACAGCTTTTCACACAAGATACTGCATACAGAACCAACACATCTGATAGCCTGCAATGCTTTTAAGTTCCGTTCCTTAAAAAAAAAAAAAAGGCCTCAGATAGCTCACAGGTGTATTTTCCCTCGTATTAACTGCAGTACAATGGAACCATATGGTACTGATTGTCTATCTTTCTAAACAGATGACCCAAAGATTATATGCACTGATAATGTAACAATATTAATTCTGTTTAGCAGATAAGAAAACCAAGGCTAAAAGGCGAATGTATGTGCTGGATCTTCTGACTCTCAGTACAGCCTTCTCCTCACCAGTCCATACCAAGACCAGTCCCAAACCCATGAAAAACGCAATTGCTTCTGGCTGACAAGTTGCACTCTTTGACAGGCATCTTCTGTCCCAGAGAGAAGTCTATTTAACA